GTGCAAGAAATTGCAATAAAATAGTCTGCCTAAGAAAAATTGAATTTTTTTGAAAATTTTTTGAGTTCCATTCACACAGTGAACGGAAACGGAACCCTTTTGGCTTTAACTTTTATAGTTTTTGAGCTAAGAAGCTGAAAATTGGTACACATTTTTAATTTTATGTTTAGATTTCACGAAAAATATAGTTAACCCTTTTGAAATATTATATTTAAATATTAAAATTTAAATAATCGTGAATGGAACCTTAGGTAAGCGAGTGTAACTCGTACTTGACCAATTTTTTTATTAATAATTTTATGGATTTTTGTTGTTTTAAGATTTTACAAGAAAAATAAATTCTCTTTAATTGAGAAGAACATTTTATTGAAAATTAAAAATTCCCTCAAAATTAAAAGCGACTTTTGTTTTTACGTTGTGAGAAAAGGATGGCTATTAAAAATTGCGTGAAAGAAACTTGTTAAAACGGTTACACCATTCACTTGCGCAGCACCGGAACCAAAATTCTTTGGGCCCTTTACTTTTTACTCATTATCCTTTATCACCAGCAAAAACAAATTATTTTATTCAAATATACTTAAATTAATTAATTTTTTTTTCATTAAATTATTATTGCGTCAATTAATTGATTGGTAGTAATTTTGTCTTTAAATAAAAATTATTCAATTCAAATAAAAATGATCTGATTCAAGAATAATAATTATTATTTGAAGTTGAGTAACCGATTATTTGAATTTTTTAATCAGTATTTATCCATTCGATAGTGTCAGATTAATTCTCTGATTCTTAATAATTAAGAGATTAATTACGTAAGGTTCTGTGTTGAAATTGCATATACAATATCGTTAAAATTTGTCGTTGAAACTGATTCGTTCGACCCTAAATTTATACTTAATCCGATTATTTTTATTAAAATAGAGGAATTTTTTTAATGAATGCGACAAATCCATCTTTTTTCATTAGCGTTACATAAATCATTTAAAATTTATGTTCTCAGAGAAAAGTATTATTGGAATCAAATATATTTTTTTGTATTGAGACAAATTTTTTGGTTGATTCAACCAAAATTTGGTTGTTTCAAACAATTTTTTCTCTGAGTGTGAATAACCCGAAATAAAAAATATAGTTATCAAAGTATAATGTTAAACGGTATAAAACGTGGCGCCATCTCTACACATCTTCGTTGCATTTGAGTCGATCATATAAAATTAAACCAAAAAAATTTTTTTTTACTATACTTTTGCATATAAAACATGATTGAAGAAAAGAAAATTTTCTTTCTCATTTTAATAATCGTGACGGAATAAGTTTGCGCGGTGCGATACACGGGCGCTGCACACGTCGCTTAGAATTAATGCCTGTCCAGCTTTTAAAGCTACCTGTTATTCCGCGGCGACAAGGCCTATTTATATCGGCCTAGATTCCGCGTTTATACACCATGTGCTGCTCTTGCGCGCGTGTGCGCACCTCGCATAACACTATATGTATATATATACACAACAGGTATATAAAACGATCATAAAAAGAATACCGCTATTCTCACGATCTAAATTATTATACCGGCGATCTAATTTATGGAAAAAGATTAGATTTTTGCGAAATCAAATTACAACCGGACAAGACACATTTGTATATACTTTATTTGCAACACGTGCGTGCGCGTCATGATAAATCCCACCAGTTACATTATTCGTTTTAATCGAGGCTTTATTGTTGTTCGATTGGAACGCATGAATAAGTTTTAAAAATCGTTAGTTACAATTTTCATTTTATATTTATTTGCTCGAATTATTTTGCAGAATTTTCATTAAACCCCCGTGTAGAAATTTTGCCGTTGTTCGGAATGAAACGCCGCGCCTGATGTGGACTTAATTAGGAAATCTACATTTTCTCGTGGCCCTGATCTGGCCCTGATCGGGCATGGCGTTTTATTCACTAGTAGGGAAATTTCTGCACAGGCTGATTTTTTGTATTTTTGTGTCCCGTTAGATCATATAAATTGAAAATATATATAAAAAAACATTTTAAGATTATTTTTAATTTTATATTCTTTATTTCATTGAAAGAAATGTTTCTCCGGTATGTAATTGATTCTCTTTATGAAGGAGGTGTTTTTTTATTTACATTTCTTTGAAAAAAAAGTTTTGATGTCTTCTTTTATTGGATGAAGTTGTCAATGCGTATGATGAATAAAAAATAATTTCTATATCTACTCTATGTCCTAAGTCTAATAATCTAGATGTACACACACGGCAATTATATAGAATTGTTTCATATATATATAGTTATATGAAGATTATAAGTACACTGATTGTAATTGAGATTTTCTTTTCTATTACAAGGTAGGAAAAAAATACCGTAGAAACTTTGCATTAAAATCGAAGTAGAAAAAAAATTTAGGACACAGCAGTCTCTTTTTAACCAACCCCTTATCTTCCCAAATGATTATAGTTGAAGTGAGAAATAAAATAAAATTTTAAAGGAAAAAAGATAAATTTTTGGAAATACGAAATAGGGAAGAGAATGTTTAAAATTTGTGTGACCCATTTGCCCGGTGCACTTGGACGATGCATTCCCTACGTCCCAGACATAGACCCGTTCTGGTACACTGGGACACGTGCTTGGTGCAAATACACGCACTTTATAATTTATTTTAAGCCTCTTGGGAGCGCACTACTTCATAAAGGAGTGACGATCTCACGCGAAGACTCGCGGATATAAGAAAGAGAGAGGAAGGGAAAGTAAAAAGAAAGAAGAACAAAAAAAAGGAGATAACTTTTTTACGATAGAGCGGTTTTTGTGACGAAAATAGGTATAAGCTAATTAAAGCTTGCTTTTATTCGCTTGCGGTTTGAAAGTTTTAAACTTGAAAAATTAACCCTCATAGTGCAGGATTTAAGTAGTAAACAGTTAATTTGGGCAGACATCTGGTGGAATTTTAAAGTTGACAGAACAGTAATAAAGTACTATTTTAGCTTTCAATTACCTTCGGGTAATTTGTAATTGATAGAAATATATTTTTAATTATTAACTTTTTTTTGTCAATTTAATTATTATATTCTACTGTTTTGCAATAAAACAAATTTCGACTAATCGGTTTCATTGTATTAAATTAAATTTTAATCCTTAAAATAGTTCTTTGAAAAATAAAAATATAAAAATTACCGGCACAAAAATCTACATGACCGATTGATAATAAAGAAAATGTTTGAAAAATGAAAATATAAAAAAAATACTGACAAGAAATCTACCTTACCGACTGATAGTAAAACAGATTTTTTGAAAAATAAAAATATAAAAAATTACCGACATAGAAATCCACATTACTAACTGATGGTAAAGAAATTTTTGAAATTTAACAATTTTTCAAAACATTTTTTACCATCAGTCGGTAAAGTAGATTTCTATGTGGGTAATTTTTTATGTTTTCATTTTTAAAAATTGTTTTACCATCAGTCGGTAATGTAGATTTCTGTATCGGTATTTTTATATTTCCCTTTTCAAAAAAGTATTTACCATCAGTCGGTAAGGTAGATTTCTATGTCGGTAATTTTTTATGTTTTCATTTTTAAAAACTGTTTTACCATCAGTCGGTAAGGTAGATTTCCATATCGGTAATTTTTTATTTTTAAAAAATCTGTTTTACCATCCGTCGGCAAGGTAGATTTCTATGTCGGTAATTTTTTATATTTTTATTTATCAACATTTTTTACCATCTTGTTAATTTTTTTACCATCTATGTAATTACAAATAGTATTTTCCTTGAAAGTTAATAAAAAATCATGTAAAATTTCAAATATTATTGAAGAAAATATTTTTCCATTTAATTTTGCGAAGGTTTTCCGGAAAATGCGACCCTGAAGATTAGGCGTGATGAAAAATGCGGATGCATGTATTTTCGTTAGAATATGATGATCGCACTGCATAGCAGATTGGCGCGGCGCGACGTGCGTTTAAATTGTGATGTTGATGATGATCAAGATTGATAATAATAGACTATACTCGAGATGGCACGCACAAATGTTGAGTTGTAGATATATATTTATATATATGTATATAGAAGAAGAGCACCCGGCAAGGTAGTGTTGTTATATGCGCTTGGGCTTGCGCGTCGCTCGTTTCTCATTGACCCAGTTACCCAGTACACTTGATCGCGTTCTATTCGCCCCCTCTCCCCCGTTTATGCCCCTCCGACCACCCTGACACTACCCCTTCCATCCGCGTTGATTACGCTCCGAGTTTTGCGCCATCCGACGCCACCTCTCTTTTGCCCTCTTCAACCACCCTCTTCTGTTCTTCATCCCGTAAATCGCCGCCATATCAACCCCCTTCGCAGGCGTCTAGCACTGCCGCCATCGAAGTAGCTCTCACCACTCAAAACCGGAAACTTCAGCATTCACTTCCACCCTCCCCCTCTTGCGGTTGTATAGTAGCGCTCCCCCGACGCTCTTCTTTCTTTTCGCACCGATAAATATCGTGTAGAGTGATGTCTGCGAACCCCTTCTGCGCGTCGGCGTCGCGACGCCTTTGCGTTAATGACGCGACAGCTTTCTCTCTCTCTCTCCCTCTTTCTTTGTGTATATACCCGATTTAGGCACAAGCGAAAGCTATTTTTGCTGAAATTTATATTTTACGGAGGGGAGAAAATTATCTTTAGCACTGTACAAATACATGTATAGTGGTAAGAAAATCTTATTTTAAACGTTATATGTTCATAAACAAACATGATTTTAAATTTTCCAAAAATGTTCCTTTTAATGTGTTAAAAAATTTCTCAACTCTTTGTAAGGCTAATCTCTTAATTTTGAATCAGTAAAATAGCTTACCGTTCACCTGGGAAAGTCAGGGAATTTTGTTCGATTGAAATCGTATAGCAACTTTGAACTTGCTGATTTTCAAACAATTTTTTAGTTGAAAACTACTAAAAATTCAGTTTGAAAAAGTAAGAAGTGAAGAAAATTATTTGAAAATATAATTTTGTTTAGTAAATGATAAAGTAAAACTAAACAATATTTATTGAAATAATAAAAAGTATAACATGATTAAAATTTTGTTAAATTTTTATCATCACAGAAGTGAATTACATTAACTCCGTGCGCCACAAAGGACATTAAAAATTGTCAGAAAAGAATTTTTTTAAAAAATGGTAAAACTAAATTGATGATTTTAACTCGTGAAATTGATGCACTTTTTTTTAACAATATGACCTAGAAGCTATTTTTAAATATTATACACGAGAGAAAAAAATTGCAAAATAAGCCTCTGATGCGACAAACGCAACGTAACCCTTAAAATTAATATGCAAGATGATATTGTATTCTCTATAATATATATACATATATAAACTATGTACGTATGCGGTTACTAGACTGGAATTCCGTTCATTCGAGTGAGTGTACTGCGAACCATCCAATTAATGCACGCAGAATTGTAAGAAACACATTACACGCCTTGTGCTTTTAGGGTAACAGGTGAACACGCGCTAAAAATAAAACTGCATTTTCTTGCATATTCAAAATTTTTTTTTTACTTACTCTTTCTCACGCGTTATGAAATTTCAGTTAACGAAATATTTCTAATAAATTATTCATATATAAACACACATTCAACACACTGACATAAAAATAAATATCAGATTGGAATTAAAGTAGAAACAATTTTAATTAATTATTCAATCAACGACAAAAAAAAAATAATAAATATATTTATATTTTAGCCAAAAATCAGTGGAAAATAAAAACGCTTTTTAGTGAAAAATTTTTCCTTGAAAAGATAAAAGATTGAGGTCGGCATTTATTTTCTGATCAGAAATTTATTTTGGTTTCGGTTTGATTCCCTGCCATAAACTATTTTTGGTGGATAATATATCACTGACCCGAAAATCACATTTTGAATATGATAATAATGATCATTATTAAGATATTAATTATACAAATTAATCCTATATTTGTTAATAAAAAAAGAGAATAGTTTTGCAAATAAAAGATTGCGTAAAAATATGAGAGAAAAAAAACAATGGTTTATGATTTCTCTATAATCTTTATATGCAAGTGGCATCGGACAAAAGAATCTTGTTTCTAAAAATTGATATTGCACTTGGCTCAACACAATGATGGTTAAAGAAAATTATCACTTCATTTTATCATTTATATATATATATTGCGTGGAATTTGAAAAATAAAAGATAAATTTCATTTTCGAAATATTCGTACGATATTCCCAACGATAATGCGGGATCAACGTGAAATCTTTTCGCCTTTATTTTTTTTCTCTTTTCTTTTTTTTTCTTTTTTGTATTTTGATAACGTCGATGCGTATACGAGCCGGAAACGAGTCGTGTATTGCAGAACTCTCTGCCTACCCTGATGGAAAGAATGATTCTGACGATGAGTCATTCTACTAAAGGCCATTGCAGAGCAGCAGACATTCACAAAAAATTGTGTATTGTATCAAAAATAAGATATGCAAACGCTCTTATTTTTTCCAATATTAATAAATTCGCGAATTATAAAGTAATATAAATAAATAAATAAAATATTTCACATACTAATTGTAAGCAGCTATGTTTTGACATGACTTAATCCAATCGTATTATTTTTCCCCAGCTTTGCCATTGGTTACTTTACTGGCTTAATACTTACGTAATTACAACTCTCCTTATTGGTCTATTTACATATGGACCGATCAACCGTTTCATGGGCGTCCACGCCTCGAGGATATGAGAAAATATTTCTCTATTTTTATTTGCACAATAAACAATTTCGACAGCAATTTTTTTTTTCAATACGAATAATGCACATTTAATAGATTGCAACTTTTTAATTGAAATTTTAATATATATTTTATTTATTTATATTTATCCGAATTTGTTCTAAGCAAATTTTTTTTTTGATCAGACTGCAAGGTTTTACTAAATGTATAATATTTGTATAATATTTCTAAATACTTTTTAAATTAATTATTTGAAATTTCGCGCGTTAAAACCTAACCTAAATTGGCTGCGTACGGTAGGGAGGATTCTTACCTGCGGTCCGGTCACACCGATGGAAAGAAATCTAATTGTGAAATGATGGAGCGATAAATACCTTGTGCAAGTGGAGATGATGCCTCTAAAAGGATATAGAATTTTTGTGTTTGGGATAAAAAAAAAAGAGATTTGAAAATGCAAGAGACAACCAGTAAGTGGTGTAAGGAGCAAGTTGTGTGCGGTTGTGTGCAGTTACTTAGCGTTGCACCGTTGCAGCCTTGAGCCTATTCCACGCACGAAAGAGCCCGCAGCACGCCTGGCTGCTTGCCGCGCTCCAAGTCGAGAGATATCCCGGACCACGAATCACCTGAAACAAATAAAAAAATAAATAAATAAACAAAAAATCACCGAAACGTATATATAGATATATTTACAATCACGTTTTCAACATTATTTATATTGACAATGCACTTAGTTACACAAATTCACAACTAGTGCATAGAAAGAAAAACGAATACCAATTATTATTATAATGATGCTATCGCTTATCATATAATACGGTTTGCTCATGCCCATTATTATATGGTAACAATGACTGTCACGAGTTACTCATATGGGAGTTCTGAGAAATGTCTGCAATATTTTATTCAATCAAGAAAAGGAGATTTAAAAAAAATCAAAATTACTTTTCCTTTGGAGGTATGACAATTTTTTATACATCAGGAAAATAATTTTCATTCTACAATATTTATAATCTCAGAATAGTAATTATCCGAATTTTTTTCTTTTCTTAAAAAGTGACGACTTTTTACCAATTTGAAAAATGTAAATAGATAAATTACATTATTTAAAATCACCATTCGGAAGATATAACAGAGAGGGAGAGAAAGATATTGTTAGATATATAAACAATAACAGAGTTTCGTGAACCTCTCGCGAGCGCGTTATCAGCTACTTTATTTTCTTACGCAACATTATATTCTCTGCGTTCCGATTTGATTGAATCACTTAAATAAAAATGGAGGGGATATAACAAAGAGAGCGTAAGTAAGTTTATTTAAAATAGTTCGCTTATGTTTTCTGTCCATTCTCCCTGACTCTTTATACACACAACATTGCGATAAAGTGACTTTTAAATGAGATCGACAAACATAAAAAGAGACCCCTGTTTTTCTTGATTCAATATTGTATATAGAAGAACGATCATGTTCTAATCAGTACATGATGGGATTTTATAGAGCGCATTTAATTATAATCTAATCCACGTGCTATACTCGGCAATCGAATGTAAGATTTCAATAATTTTAAACTCATTTTTTTTCTATTTTATTGGAGAATTAATTTTTTTCTGAAAGAAAGTTCAATTTTAATTGAAGGAACAAAAAGATAAAAAAAAGTTTTCCAAATATATAAAATTATGGAAAGTAAAATGTTCAAGAAATCTCGAATGACGCATCTCGTGAATTAGATGCTGATAATGTTGCATTTTTTATATATATATATATATACATGTAGTTTGAACATTCCTTACCAATCGCGTTTGACCCACTTTGCTTAAAAAAAGGAGATCAAATCGTGGACGAGTTTTACAATTTTACACTAAACTGTTGCAATGTTTCTCTCTGGACTATCGATCTTCGCAAATAAAAATGTTCTGTACATGTTGCGTGAACATGTACTTCGCCGGAAATGAATAGTCTTGTTAAATTCGATTTATATACAAATAAAAATTTAGGTCCACTTTTTACTATAATTCGAATGCTTTTATATTTGTAAGTCAGTTCGTTAAATAAATAATCTACTATCAATTCGAAATAAATAAAAAAAATTTAATATGTAAAAAAATAAATGCAATAACAGACCGAAAAATGTAAATAAAATTATGAATAACAAAGTAAACAAAAAGATTAAAATAAATATCAAGAAAAATAAAAAACTAAATAAAAAGATTAAAATAAATATCAAGAAAAATAAAAAACTAAATAAAAAGATTAAAATAAATATCAAGAAAAATAAAAAACTAAATAAAAAATGATAAATTAAAAATAAATAAGTAAAAACATGAGCCAAAAGTTTTGAACGTTCATATGAACGAAATTTTTTTTGCAACTTCTTTAACTACGAATTTTATTACAAAATATTGTTTAAAATATCTAAAAAGATGTTATTAATTTAATAATTGTTAAATTTACTGTTTTATTTTACATTGTCATCATAATTTTTAATAATTTATAGATTGAAAAAAATATTTCGTTCATATGAACGTTCAAAACTTTCGGCTCATGTAAAAACAAAAATTTAATAAATTAACGAAACAAGTAAAACAAAAACAAAAATAAAATCGAGAATGGAATATAAAAAATATTTTTAAAAATAAAAAAGAAATTTAAAAAAAATATTAAGTTTTAATATTTTGGGGGGTGGTTTTTAAAAAATTTATTTTCTGACCATTGAAGAGCCCTAAATTCCTGTGAAAGAAGTTTTTAGTTTTTGAATTTTAATTTCAAATATCATGAAAATAATGATAAAGATCTTATTTGAAAATGAGTAATTTTAGTAGTATGATGTGAAATTAGAGGAATATAGATTAGGGACCAGTCAAGATCCTTCCTTTTCATGTCGTGGCGTGGATTATTAATAACAGGTTCACGAGCATAATTTTTCACACGGATGAAACATGCAGATACTCTATTATAGTTTTACAGGACGCATGCCGAGCATATGTATGTATACGCGCAAGCACGGTAACGTGGTGCCAGCCGGGAATCAGGTCACTCGTATCAAACTGACCTACATACCGCTTATCGCGCCCGTTATCTCTTTTGATAAAGCCTTTATTAACCATATGATTATATACCTAAAAGTCTCAGAAAAATTTTCGAAACGTCCCCGTAAAAATATCTCTAGAAAAAAAAAAAATTCTCAGTTTCCTCGCTCATCCTTTTTTGTATTTTTATAACTCCACGTGCGGATGAGGGAGAAAAACTCGAGTTCCCGTCAATGGAAAACTGCGATTTTACAACTCAGAAAAATCTCTTATTCTCTCCCGAGATTCTTTGAAATGTTTTTTTTTTAATTTAAAATTATTTAAATTTGTTGCTTTAAAAAAAAAATCTTTAATACACAGTATATTTTTATAAATAAATATTATTAGTTTATTCTTTAAAGGTTAACCATTTTCTTTTCATTCTTCAAAAGGTTGAATAAAATTTTAAAAAAGGAAATTTTTTAAATTCTTTAACAAAAATTTATGCTATAAGAAGACTTCTTTACTTTTAATAACTTTTTAAAAGAAAATATTTGATATATATATAACGATGGAATGAAATCGTTTCACCTGGAAAAGAATTGTTGAATATAAGATCGTAATTTTACACATTGTCTAACTCACCTAGTTAAAAGTTTATTTAAAAGTATAATAATTTATTCTTGAAACAATTGTATATTAAGGTCGTCTCTATGTTTAATTACTACATTTTCAATTAATGTATAACTTTTTACCTAGAAAAAAAGTTCCTATATCTTAAATGTAAAACAGTTCAGTGTGTATTTAGTCGAAAAATTTTTCAAAAATGTAAAAACAATTTACCAAAATTAATTAAAAAAAAAAAAATTAAAAATAAAATAAAACAAATTAAATTTAAAAAATTTTATAAAAAATAAAAAAATTAAATAAAAAACAAAAAATAAATAAAATTAAAAATTTAATTCAAAAAAAATTTTTAAAAACCAAATAAAAAAAAAATATAAAAAATATAAAAAATATAAAAAAAACAAAAAATAAATAAAATAAAAAAAATTTTAAATTAAATTAAAATTTAAAAAATAAGTAAAAATTGTAAAAACAATTTGTTGAATTTTTGTTCTAAATAATTTGTTGTGACAAATAAGTAACAATAATGAAAGTTGACCGCGTGGAAATATATATAAATATAATTAGAAATATTTTAAAGAGATTTTTCGGAAGAAGAGTGCAATTCTTGCATGTGGGTGTTGGGATTTTTTTTTAGCACGGCATTAATATATATCGTAAACGCTTTAAAGCAACTTCACCTGCCACGCTAAAAATAACAAACGATTTATACATACACGTGCATAAATATATATATATATACATATATATATGTTATAAAGTTTCGACCTCGCCCTGACGGTCGTCCTTACTCGACTACACGAACTCTTCAACTTGACCTGAATCCTGTTTTGCAAGATATTTCGCAATTTCCCTGACCGTCCGCAGACTCCTCGCGAATATAAAGAAATCCCCTTTTGGCAATTTTCGAAAGCGATACAGAAAAATAAGAAATAAAATGAAAAAAAAAATTTTAAAAAAAGGAACAATTCGATTCATGACAATATTTTTTTTTGCTCCATCAGCGCGGAAAATTGGCCAAAGGGAGATTTTTCACTGTATACATATAGGGGGACTCTCTTTGCGCTCGATTCAACTTAATGCATTTTTGCAAATATATCTCAGTGTACTGGAAAAATAATTTTTTTTTCTTTATTTGGATCCAGAGTGATTGAATATTGAATATGATGTAATGGCAAAATGATAAGAGGTCATAAATTGTAGTAATCATTCTTGATTATTTTATGAATGACTTTCGAGATGCGTGATGTTTTATCTTAAATCCAGGGTATACTTATTATTACGACATTGACATACTTTTGTTGCATGTGACGTCATAATTAATTTAATTGCTGAATACTTATTTATTTTCTTTGAAAAAAATATTATTTTCTTAGAAAGAGGAGACAACATACTTGTAATTATTTTATAGGCAATACACTCTCGCCGTTTCAAAAGAGGGGGGAAAAAATGAGAAGAGAAATTAAAAATAATATCTGGAACCATTTTTATTTAAATCAATAATTGCAACCATTTTTTGCATTCACCATATATCAATTTTTTACTGTAATTTTGTATTTTTAGATTAATTTTAACTTTGCATCTAGCAATTTTTACAATAATCTTGTTTTTTTAAATATTAATCTTACTTTTTTTTTATTGTATTGCAAGTTTTTCTTGAGGCATTATTTTTCCGAGCTGTTCGTACTTTTTTTACGTGATAAGAAACATCTTTATCTCGACGGTAAATTATTGTTTCTAGAGCGAAACCAATCGCTCTTCTTTTTTATTTTTACTTTTCATGTCTGAAACATTTAATTTCTTCGTCCAGTTCTAATTAGTTGTTTTTGTGTTCTATATACGGTTATTCTCATATATATTTTAATTACATAAAATGAAAATAAAATTTTTTTTCTTTTGGTAAAATTAAAATCATTCATTTCCATATTTTGAAACAAAAACTAAATATTTTTACAAAAATACAAAATTGTATTTACAAAAATACGAAATGTAAT